CTCCCACTTGGTGGAAAGATTATGGAAAAGGGAACCAGAAAAACAGTTCTTGCCATTGGCAGCTGGTGAGTGTGCCTGTCATCCCTGTTGAAAGCTAGGTGACAGCAGTGGCAGCTCTGGCTTGGAATCTAAAAACTGGGACTAGTAGTTACAGACAAACTGATAAAGAAATTTCCACTCTCTCAGCCCCCTCCTCCACTTGTGTTTTATAAATGACAAGGCAAGGGAAAGGCTCCAGCCTAGACTGGGTTGGAGGTCTGGGCAAGGCAGGTTGGAGCCCTGTTAGTGGAAACTCCAACCCAGGTGCTGCACAGCCAGCCCAGCTGCCCCTACTGTGAAAATCAAATCTCTGAGACTTGGGGGTACTCCCAGGAGCCGTCCAGAGGGAGAAATACCATTCAGGAGGAGTTGTCCCTGGCTGCATGGGGCACAGAAGTCCCTCCCCAGCCCTCAGCTGAGCCTGCAGCAGAGTGCCAGCTCCCCTGAAGGTTCTGTTGCTGTGAGGTGGTTTCATCCCCGCTTTGAGTAACACAAAACTTTCCATCCCTCCTCCCCACAAATGGCCAGGGGAGATGGCAAAAAATTCCCCTTAGCTGCTATCCTGGGACACCTCCCTTATTACACCTGGTGCACAGCAAAAGAAAAAATGTAAGTGCATGGCCTTGCCCCACCATCCACATGGGGCTGGAGCACGTGTGCAAGTGTTCTCCTGCCTCAGGTTCTAAATCTTGTACAGTGTCAGTGCTGTGATATTCCTAAATATGTTCCCAGAGCCAAGTATTTATCACCCCCGTGAACCAGTAACAAGGCACCTTGCTCTGACTGGAGATGTGATAGCACTTGCAGGAATGATTGTGTGTGCTGTGAACTCAGCCTCTGGTTCAAAATATTGTGCAGAGGAATAATAAATCTCAGTACTAAATTGCTGCCCCATTTAAGCTTTGATTAGACTCCGATGGTCTGTTCACCCTGGAGCTGCTGGTATTAATCTGCATGCTAAACCCTAATTATAAACTGCTCATAGCATTTCCAGATGACATCAAGATGTTTGGGATTAAAAGAAACCCTGATGTTGAGTTTACAGCTTGGAAGGACTGTAGACTACCTGATCCCCACAGATGTAATAACACACCTCTGTGTGGGGAGGAAAGAAAAGAGGGAGGTTTGGTCCAAGTGTGTCTGTAGCAGGAGTTTGTGGGGGACAGGTCTGGCTATGAGCACACACCCCTAAAATCCCCCACACACCTGAAAAGGGATGTGAGATGCACACAAGTGTTCCTGCAGGTGCTCCCTGTCCCCAGCTCCACACAAATCTCACCCAGCCCTGACTGCAGCAAGTGCAGAAGGGCTTGAGGCCAGCCATGAAAGGAAAACTTCTCAGGGGGAAAGAATTCTGGTTTGGCCCCACAGCACTGTGGCATCAAGGAGTCCAGCAGTGGGGATCTCATGGGACACTGTGGATGCTGGCTGAGAAGAGCCAGAGGCAGAGAGATGCTCTGAACCCGTGCCTCTCATCAGCTTTCCCCTAAGGAGCCATGGCTGAGGTTTTGGGGTGCCTGTGTTGGAGCACTCCCTCTGCAAAGCTGCTCTGGGCCTAGGTGAGGAGTGGACATCATTTGTGCCCTGCTGCCCTCTCAACCACCAATATAAACTACTTGCACCCTGTCCAGGCCCTCAAGAGAGCAAAGCTGGAGGGCATGCAGCATGTCTGCAAACAGCTGAGCACCCTGCACAGGGCAGGAATAGATGGTGTGTGCATTTTGGTCAGATTTCCTACAGGCACAAGCATGTTCTGGCTGCCAGCTCCTGCTCCTCACTGCCCCCCTGCATTATTTTCTTATTTAATTTCTAGGATGAAACACATTTGGCAGATCAAAAAAGGGCTCTAAGACTTCACACACTGAAAATGAAGTAGGGGAGACCCAAAGGACTTTCCCTCACTGAGCAAAATGCTTCTTCACCTGAATGCCATGATACAGTCACCAACCGAGGACACACACCCGGGCACCACATGTTCTTCTGTCTGGTTTCTTTTATTCAAACCCAGGTGGAAGAAGAGATACTTAGGGCACCTGAAAGAAGGGGGCAATCTGTGCTGGTAGAGGCACATGCTGTGGTGGTCAGTGCAGGGGAGTTGGACGTGAGGGCAGGGCAGAGGAAATCTTGGCTTTCTTGCTGCTTTGCACCCTCCTGCACCCCACTAATGCCAGCCCCAAGGGGTGTGAGCTGGGGATTTTACAGCTGCTCATCTGCTCTGGCTGTTTCTTGTTGGTTCCAAGACCCTTGGGAGGCTCGTCAGCTCCTGTTTGTTGTACCTGAAAAGTGGTACCAATACTGTGGAGCTCCAAAGCTGCTGTTCAGACCCTCATGTTCCTGAGAGTTTATAGCATATTGGGCAGCCCACATTTTGGGGCTGGGAACCACAGGAGCTGCCAGTGCTGGACTTCATGGGAAACTTCAAGAATCAAAAATACACTCCAGTTAGGGGCTTTCTCCTAGGGGCACTGAGGGGTGTTTGTGATTTTCTATGAGAAAAGAAAGCGGAAGTAAAATGTGCTGGTCATCTGCAGAGATGCAGATATTTGGGGTTCCCCTTCTTGAAATGCAACTAGGGAAAGGAAAATGGGGGTTTCTGCTTCACTTTCTCCCAGTGTTGGACACGATCACAGCAGAGGGGAGGTAGGTTTTGAGGCAAGGCTCCAGCTGGTGAGTCTCACTGATGTTCTTCAACATGACAGCCACTTTTGGGAGCTGGAAGGGCAAAACTGGGGTCTGGCTGTGGTGTGAGGCTGAGCCTTTCAGCGGTGGGTGCTTCACCAGGCAAACTTCTGGCTGTTTCAGGACTTCTGGGCTTTTTATTCTTCTCCTTTGCTGGAAGTGGCTCAGAGGCTCCTGCCCTGCTGGGAGTGTGAGCAGAAGGCAACCATTTGTTGGACAGCTGGGAGAGGGAGGAATGGGGCTGTGAGCAGGCTCCAGGCAGGTGCACATTGGAGAGGAAAAGTGGGATGGGAGGGTGGAGGGGAAGGGGAACTACCTGTTCAGCTTGACACAGAGCAGTGGTGAGGGAGGAAATGAATGTCTGATCAACTCCTTGATGGCCTGCGGGATGCTCAAAGGGTGCCTGGCTCTGCTGCCATGAGCCATCTGTGGCATGGCAGTCCTTCCCAGCCTCGGGACTGCGAGAACTGGGGTATCCTATCACCTCTGCTTCGGGTCTGATGCATCATAAACTGAGGTGGCAGCACAGGCACTATCCCTGTCAGAGCCCAGGAGGTTCCTACTGCACTCATTTCCACATCCTAGGTGTGCCTTGGCATAGGGCCTGTCTGGCCAGAACAGAGATAATTGAGAGATGAACTGCAGCCCTGTGGTGCTCTGTGCAGGCATTGCTCCCAGTCTCCTTCCTCCTGGGACAGACAGAGTTGTCAGAGTTCCCCTTGGATTCAGCTTGTCCCTCCCACCCAGTGACAGAAATCCAGTTACGTTGTAGGAGGGGTTCAGGTCACGTTCAGAATGTGAATCAGGCAGCCTCTGTTGGAATTCAGCCTGTGGGTGCTGCATGTGAGGGGAGCAGCCAGGACTCACCTCAGGACGAAGCCTCAGTCCTGGAGCTGGGTGCTTCCTCTTTCCAGGGGAAATTTGGGCTGCATTCCCAACCCCAGGGCTGGCAGGGAGCATGGTCTGAAGGATGCACTCAGGCATGAGGAGATCTCACCACGGATGTCAGTGAGGGCATTGCTGAAGGTGGCTCAGAGACCTCTTGGTCTGGTTTTTGTGGCTCCTGCTGACACCCCCAAGGCTAAGAGCAGACCCCACTGCCCGTGGAAAGGGATGTTTATGGCTGGGCCTCTGCAGCACCCACTCAGGACAGCCAGCTGCAAACATCCATTTGAAGCAGGTCAGGGAGAAAGAAAGTAAACCCCAGCTCACCAAGAAAAGAGGCAGAAGGCAGATATCTGGGAAAGACAGAGAAAAAGGGGCATTTCATGATTAGGGTATGTACAGGTGATCACACACCCTGCCTAGCCTGAACCTGCAGAGCCACGGGACAAGCTGCCAGTATACAAAAGCCAACCAGATACAGCCTTGCACACCCATGTGAAGGCACAACTCCTTCCCCATCCAACATGTGGACATGTACCAGAGGACATCACACAAATTCTCCTTCAGATGCAGAAGAAGTCACTCTGTGCTGCATACACAGATGCACCCACAGCATTTTGGGTGTGTGCACACCCACATGCTTCTGTGCACATGCATGACTTGCCCCAAGGTTTTGGGGGTTTTTTTTGGCCTTTCCATCCAGTACCCACCAGCTTTGTCTACCCCCACAACCCCCCAACCTGAGTTCAGCAGAGCTCTGCAGCCCTGCCCTGCTCATTTGGGTCTTTGAGACTGCAAAGGGTAAACTGGGACCAGAGGTGGGGGGGGGGCTGAAAGCAAACTAATGATGAAAATGTCTCCTCCATGCCTGTGCCTTAATTAAATGCATGGAGAGGCTCGGGGAAGCACATCTGTTTTCAATCTGGAGCCCTTTGATGGCATCAAATGTTCTTTCCCCAGATCAGGGGGGATGGAAATTCTGGGCTGGCTGTGGCAGCTCGGAGCCCCGGCTGCAGCCACCGGGGAGCAGCGGCCTTTTGCTGCCCGCGGCTCCGGCCCCTCGCCAGCCCCGCGGTCCTGGGCCAGGGTCCGAGGGCCACTACCTGTGTCCGGCCACAGCGGCCACCAGGGCCAGCACACACGGCGGGGACCTCTTTGCTCGCTGGCCTGAGGAGCTCCGACTGTGTCCTCGGGGTTTTTTTGGGTTTTTTTTTCCCTTCCCTTCCGTTCTTTTCACTTTACTCCTGTCTTGGTCTATTTCTCTCAGTTCTCTGCCGCACTTTTTCTTCCTCTTTCGCTGTTTTTCCTCTTCCTTCCCTCTCTCCTGTTCGCACTTTCTCTTCCATTACCCTCACTCACCTTTTCATCTGCATTTCTCATTTTCGCTATCCCTCTCCTCACTCCCAGGGGCGCGTCCGCTCTCCCCTCCAGGTGCAGCGCCGGCCGACAAGGGTGGGGGGGACTGCCCAGCACCCCGCTTTGGCCGCCCCCCGCGGCTCCCCAGCCCCGTCCCGGTGCCACGTCCCGGCGGGGCCCCGCGGGTGCCCGGAGCGGAGCCGCCCCCGCCGTTTGAAGTGCGGGGCGGAGGGGAGGGGAGGGCAGCGCAGGGGCGGAGGGAGCGGAGCCGGCGGCAGCGGGGGCGGAGGGACGGGGCGCACCCGCCCCAGCGGCCCCACAGCCGCCCTGCGCCTCTCGGCCGGCGGCAGCTCCCCGCGCCGCCGCCCCGGCGCCCCGAGCCGGCCGCCGCCTCGCCCCTCCGGCATGTTTTAAGCCCGGCCCTGCCCGCTCCCCTTCGGGCTTCCCTACCCGCCGCCGTCGGGTCCCGTCCCGCTCGCCCCGCTCCGCTCCTTGCGCGTTCCCCCCCTCGCAGCGCCGGCGGCTGGGGGGCCGCGGGGGCGGTGGGCGCCCGCGGGGGGCGAGGGCAGAAAAGCCCCGCTCGGCACCATGGCGTCCAGCTATGCCCACGCCATGGACAGGCAGGCCCTGCTGCCCGCCCGCCTCGACGGCCCCGCCGGCCTGGACAATTTACAAGCCAAGAAGAACTTCTCCGTGAGTCACCTGCTGGACCTGGAGGAGGCGGGCGACATGGTGGCCGCCCAGGCGGAGGAGGGCGGCGGCGAGCCCGGCCGGAGCTTGTTGGAGTCGCCCGGGCTGACCAGCGGCAGCGACACCCCGCAGCAGGACAGTAAGTGCGGGGGCATCCTCCCCTTCCATCTCTCGCCGGGGCAGCCGCGGCGGGCGGCGCCGGCTCCGAGGGGGCTCCGCTGGTGCTCAGCCCGGCTTCCCCCGCTCCCCGAGCCGCCCTTCCCCGCCGTGCCGGGAGTGCCGGCGGGGTCGGCACCCACCGGAGTGTGAAAACCCTTGTTTTCCCCCAGCCGCGTCCCGGGAAAGGGGCGAACTGCCCTTCGCCACCGCGCCCGTCGGGTCCGGGGCCGTGGCTCCTGCACCCTGCGGGGAGCCGGAGAGCAGAAGCGGGCAGGATCGGGCCCACGGGCTCGGCCCCTCGTCCATTCCTTGCCGGGGTGGGCTGAGAACGGCGCTTGGCTGGACGGGGCGAGGCGCTGTGGGCGCTGAGCCTCCATCCATCCATCCATCCGTCCGTCCTGCCCGTCGGAGCGGGCACCGGCACCGTGGTTTGCGGGACACCGGGAGGCTGCTCGGGGCTTGGATGGGGTCCGGACGATTATCCGATGCCCTGCCGGGAGCGCCGGGGCTCGCAGAGAGCCCGAGGGTGCGTGCGCGGCTCCCGGCTGGAGCCGCATTCTGCCTCTCCCCGAGCCCCGGTTCCCCCGAGCCCGGCGGGCAGGGCAGGGGGCCGGAGCGGTCTCCCCGGTTCCCCCGAGCCCGGCGGGCAGGGCAGGGGCCGGAGCGGTCTCTGAGCTGCCCGGCCTGAGCAGTCCGAGCTCCAGCGGCCGCGGGCAGCGGGATGGGCGCCGGCTTGCGCGGCGTTTCCCAAGCGCAGCGCTGTCAGAAAGGTTTAGGTTACTATGTCAGTAACCCCCCTTTAGCCGCTCTCTGCTAAAATAATTACATCCCCGGCCGCAGGGAGTTCCGTGGGGGTCCGGGCTGGCCGCGGCTGCGAACACGGGCTCGCTTCCGAGGGAGCTTCCCGGCGAAAAACGGGGAAAAAACAACGAAACGAAACGAAACGAGAAGCGAACGAAAATGCCAATTGAAATTTTCGTTCGCTTTTCGATTTTTTTTTTTTGTTGGTTTGATTTTTTGGGTTTTTTTTTTTGTTTGGTTGTTTGGGTTTTTTTTCCCCGCGGGAGCAACCTCCGACCCTCTTTTCCCCGTGAATCCGAGTTTTCTCGGTACTCCGAAGGAAACCGAGCTGGGGAAGCGGGAAGCCTTCCCAAAAGCAGCCGCTCCTTGCAGAAGCGCCCGTGGGAGCGCCGAGCTCGGCCGGGCCGGATGCGTTCCCGGCGGGGAGCATCCTCCGGGAGCGCGCTCGGGATGGAGCGAACGGAGCCGCTCCTCTGCTCCCCCGAGAGCCGATCCACCGCCGCTGGGACATGGCTTGCAAATATTTCCCTTCCCAGGGCCCGAAAACTACAATTTCTGGCTCTAAAGGTGTGTATTTTATGTATTTTAATGGGGAAAACAGCGATTGCGGCTGCCCCCGATTCAGCTCCTTGTGCCGCTGGAGAATCCGCTAGATATCAAATGCAGACAAGTTTTTTTAACTTCTGCTCTGTACTCAATTTAGTTTATCATATTTTATTTGGATTTACTCCTGATGTTGCCCTTTTCCAGCTGCGAGCTTGGTCAGCATGGGAAAGGAGAGCTGCGTTTCACCAATACTCACCTTGATTTTAAAGCATGAAAAGAACCCCCCAAAAAAAAGTAGCCCAAGAACTTGTTTTCTAGCCAGCACTGCTGAGCAGGGACCAAACTACCACTTCAAATAATTTGGAAATTCTCTGAATGCTGTAAAAGTTTTAATACCGTTGCGGTGAATTAGAAAGTTTTAGAAGTATTCTAAAGTAAGCGACAGCAAAATAAAATAAAAAAAAAAAAAAAAAAAAAAAAAGGGGAGAGGAATAAATTCCACCAGGTTTACTGGGCAGAACTGTCATCTGGGCTTTCTGGGTCTCTCATGGATGCATTTAGCACATCCTGGGAGTCTCCGTGCCTCAGTTTCCCTACCTGCTGAGTGTGTCCTGTGAAGTGTTATACAATCCATGCAGCAAAAGGACTGTGCTGGAGCTAGGAAGTGCAACAGAGGTAGGAGCTTTTCTCGGTGGAAAATGAGAACTGGTTCAGTGGAAAAGCTAACACAGGGCTCCATGCTTTTAAATGAGAAAAGGTAAAAGCCTTTTGAAGAAATTGTAAATTTTTCAAGAATCCTAAAAATGTTCTTCCAACCTGAAGGAAAATCAGCTGGTTTGCCACTGATTTTTTGTTCCAAGCTGAAGGGAAAAACCAAATTATCGGTGCTGTTTTTATAAACAAAAATTTAGAGAAGTAGTTTGACACAGAAATTACAGAAGGTTTTATTTGGATGTTTGAGATTGAAGTAAATATTTCACCACTGTTTTATTTGAGAGAGGTTCAGGATAAAACATTTCTCTTATTAAAAAGAAAAAACATTCCTGGGAGTAGCTGTGGTTGTAACACTTGCAGGGAGAGCTGTCCGTGGGTTAAGGAGCTGAGTTTGCAGCAGTGCTGCGGAGCTGTCATTCTTACCAAGTTCATTCAGCTCCTCGCTCTGAACACCTTACCGTAAAAGCTGATAAATATCAGGGCAAAAAGAAATAAATAAAAATCCCTGCCCCTGCTGCTTAGCTGGGAAAGCTTTGCAGTCCCAGTTCAAATTTGTCACAAAATAACCTGTTAAGATAAAACCAACTCTTGCTGTGTTAGCGCAACTTTCGCTAAGTCCGGCTAAAGCAGGGATGAAAGTGCCGGTCCCAGCTGAGCTGAGGGGATCCCCAAACTTTCCAGAAAAGGCAATGAGCTCCTATTGCATTTGTGCCTTTTGAGGGTGACAGAAATCTGTCACTTGCCTGTGGGTTCCCAGAGCTTGTGGCTCTGGGGTAATTCTCAATTGTTTTGTTTTTTTTCAGATGGGACTTCTGCTTTTTTTTTTTTTTTGGTTGGTTTGTTTGAGGCTCACAGTTGATGGCTCATAAAATGGTGTGGAGAAAGCATGAACAGCAAAAGAAAAATAGTTATGCTGGGATTTATTTTGTAAGAAGTGAATAAACCATGCTTCAGTCCATTACATGCTCAAGTTCTGTGTTTTGAGGTTATTGCTGTCCTTTAGTCTCTTTTCAGTATAAGAATGCTGATGTATACTCTCTTCAGTATAAGTGGCTGATATAATGTCAGCCACTCAGGTGGCTGACGTTATATCAGGCTGATTCACAATTAAAGCTGGACACAGGCTGCCTGAGTCTCCCCATGATTTTTTTTCTGTCCCAGTGAGCATCATGACCCCTCAGTACTGCTGCTCCTTCTCAAGGAAATCCCAGAAACCCTGCTGGGACAAGGTGAGTGAGTTCCTCTGCTCAGGCAGGTCAGGCAGAACATCGGTGTGGCTTCAGCTCCTCTGCTCTGGCAGCAGGTCGAGGAAAGGCTTTTTCAGCCTTCTCGCTGTTGGGTGATGGGGTTCGTCACCCCAGGATTTCACACAGGTCAGAAATAGATGTTATTTCAAGAAAGGACTGACAAATCCAGGGAGGGCTGAGGATGGCTGCTCACTGCAGCAGTGTTTGGAGGCAGCGTCCGCCTCAGGGAGCCACCAGTCACAGGCTGGAAGGATGAGCTGGGGCAGAGATCTGTCCCTTGCTGCCGGGGCTTAAACCCTCTGACTGCTGTTCCTGGCTGTCTGAAACAGCATCCTGAGCTGGAGCACTTTGGGTCTGCTCCCACATGGCTATTCATTTTGCCTTAATTGCCTCTTTTTAATGAGAACAAGTGAGGTTGCCGCAGGAGTAAAAGAGTGTGTCTAAGTACTGAATTGTCTCTGCCCCTGTGCCTCCCCATCCTTCAGAAAAAAAAAAATACGCCTTTGTAAAAAGAGGTGGAAAAGCTCTGCCACTGCTTGGAAATGTGGAAAGCAATTCCTTGGGCTGCTGAGTTGCTGAGGATGAAGGTGAGAAGAAGCGCCTGGGACATCCGCAGGGTTTTCTTTGCAAGCCTCTGCTTTACCTTGGAGTACTGAGCATCTCTTTTGTTAGTAAATTTGTTAGTAAATTACAGCCCTTATTCCTAGCAGATGCCGAGTCCGTAGACAGAGGATGCACAACTGATAGATAGAAGAGGGAAAATTGACTGAAACCCAGGAGTTTTCTTCCTGTCTTGTCCTGCTGAAGGACCGAGAGCCTTGGGGCAGCAGCTGGTGCTGATGTCCCCAGGTTCCAGCGGGGTGAGTGCCTCAGTCTTCACCAACAGCAGCAAATCTTCCTCAAAAAAGTCTCTCCAGAGTTCTCCTCTTCCAGAACCCGATGTAGGAAAAGCCAGGATCAGATCATTATTGTTTGTACGTTGGAGCTTATTGTAAATTATCGGCATGAAAAACGCAGTTCTTTGTTGGCAAAATCTTTTGCGCGTGCCGGTTCTCCTGCGCGTATCCTCAAGGCTTTGAGGAGAGCTCGCTTGACTAAAGCTTGAGTAACAGATAACAAACACCAAGCAGTTGTTAGAAGTTTGATTAACTCCTTTCCATTTATGTTCCTTGGGCATATCTATCTAATTTTGGCCTCAGGCTGGCAGATGCGTGGTTATTGCAGCGAGTATCGCAGTGTCAGATATTTTTCTTGCATCCCTGAATTCTGCAGTTTGAAGTGGGAAAGAGTTTTGTGTTTGTTATGTAAATTTCTGCAGCTTCTGGACAAAGACAGAAGATGGAAATGTGGCTTTGTCACATATCTGGAGTCTTAAAAAACAAAAAGGCACAAAAATAAATGAAAGTGGTCAAGGTAGTGTTATTAACAAAGGAAAAAGAGCCATGTGAATGTAGAGGAGGGAGCTGGCTCTGTTTGTGACTGCTTTTCCTTTTGAGGGGTGAAAAGAAACTTCTATTTGTTTGTGAATTTCACTTTTTTTTTTGATCATAATCAGTTTTGCTTCCTGGTTCTCATGGTCTTATAATTTACTGATGGTATTTGTGTTTTCAATCCATTCACTCAGAGCTTCCAACTTTTTAATTTGAAAAAGATTTTGCCGAAGGTTTTTACTTTCCCTCCTTCCCCCCTTAATGTAATGAAAACATTTCCATGAAAATTAGATTTTGAAATCTCTCATAAAACTGAAAGGTTTGGTCTAAACTGCTTGAACGCTTTTAATGAACATCAGCTTTCTGTCATCTGCACTGAGTTTCCACTGCTAGCCGGTCTATTTTCCATCTTTTTGATGATGTATAAAGCAGTGATTGCATGGGAAAATATTATCTCAGGGTTAATTTGTGCAGGCTTTACTCACACGAGCACTGCATGTGATTCAATGGACCACTTATGTGTGTGCCAGTTGATGAGTATTAGTGTTTGAAGACCTGACCAGCGGCCTTGAGTCATGCAAGAAAAGATATTTTTTTCGGCCAGTGGAGTATTTTTGTGCGGGCATGGAACGGTTTTGCTGTCTGCAGTCGGGAGCTCGGTCCTTTTGCCTCTCGGCAGAAGTGCAGAGTGCATCAAAGTCTGTGATGCGAGGAAGCCTGAAAGGAAAAGAGCAAGAGCACGGACAGAGCAGAAGCAGGAGGGGCTGGGAGAGTTGGGTTTTTGACAAGGCAGGCACAGAATTGCAGGACTGTAATTCCTTCGGGGGTGTATTTTTATTTTTTCCCCCGGTAACCGAGTTTACTCCCATGGTTTTTGACACCACCAGAATGACTTGATGGGATTATAGGTGTTTATTCCTGGTTGCGAGTTGTTTATGATATATTTAATCGTTTTTGAAACCCATATTAAGTAGCCCTGAGGGAGCTGTGTTCCTGCTGGGCCTCTGTTGCATAATGAAGTACATCACGAATATTTACCAAGTGTCACAGTATTCCAGATTTGGGCCTCTGTTTCTGGGGAGGATGAATCACTGCACTGCTGGTTCCCCACCCTGCTTGCCTTTCCTAAAGGAGGCTTGGATTTTGGGGTGGATTATGGAGATTCGGAGTGAGACTCATCACAGCCTGTCTGGAGGAGCTGTTGTCCACGGCTCTGATGTTTGAACTGTCCTCTTGGCTTTACACGCAGGGTACAGAAAGGCTTCATCTCCTGCTTGGGTGGTGGAGCAGGTTTTTAGTCTGGTTCCTCCAAGAAAAACCTGTTGTTTGGTCGCTGCATGTGGGAAATACCTTCAGAACCTGCTGGCTGCTCTGGTGGGAGAGCAGGCAGCTCAGAGGAGGGGTGAAATCCCAGCAGGTTTTATGGCAGTCTGGAGGGCATGAGAAGGATGGCAGCAGTGCCTCCTCCTGAGGGGGAGATGCAGCACAAACCCAACCTTTTACTACCCACTGGAAATCTCTACACAGGCTCAGTGGAAAGTCACACATGTAGACGTAGGTGCCACCAGCCGTGCAATGTAGGGATTTGTCCTTTGTTACCCTTTGTTGGGACAGTTTTCCCATTGTTCAGGGCCAGCACAGCTCCCAGAGCTCCTCAGCACCTCAGGGGCTTTTCAGCTATGATTGGTTTTATTGAATTCCAGAATGGTTTGGGTTGGAGGGGCCTCCAGTTCCAGCCCTGACACCTTCCACCATCCCAGGGTGCTGCCAGCCCTGTCCAGCCTGTCCTTGGAGACTTCCAGGATCCAGGGGCAGCCCCGTCTTCTGTGGGCAGCCTGTGCCAGGGCCTCACAGGGAAGAATTCCATCCATTTCATTCCTTAACTGGAGATAATTTGAAGTTTTTCACAGCCCTGCTCACTTTTGCATTGTAAATGTAGGTTTGCCCTGGAAACCTGTGCTGTGTTTCCCTTCCTGCACTGTTCCTGCTGGGCCCAGCTGATCTCGAGGGATGGGAGCTCAGCAGAGCTGCCCTGCCTGCCTGCTGGCACTTTCGGCATCACTTAAAGAGAAGTTTCTTTCAAGTGAGAGTGTCTGGAGGATTCTGGCTGAGAAGGGAAGGGAGCAGTGGTGCCGAAGCTGAGGGCCACCTCCTGCAGTGGAAAGCCTGGCATCTGCAAGGATGAGTCTGTGAAGGCCAAGAGGGAAGAGAGGCCTGATGAGCAAGCCAGGGAGCATCTATTTCAGCTTACATGGCGTTCTGGGCTCCTCTCTCACCTTCAGGGGCTGAGAAAAGGTTACACCACTGTTTCAAGCACTGTCCCAGACAGTCTGGATTTCATACGTGCCCATGTGAAGGGAGCATTTGCCTTGGGGTGGCAGCCCAGGACATCCTGGTGCCTCGTGTTCCTGGAAGGGAAGGTTAGATGAGAGGCAAAGGGAGCCAGCTGCGCTCTTAACAAATCACTACATCCTATTGCAGCATCCAGTTCATATTCCACCCAAGTTTTCCCCCATTCTGGCTAGAGAAATTTTCCTACAGGAGAAACTCCAGCCAGTCAGCAAGACTGCTGGGCAGGGCAAGCATCCAAAGAGACGCTCAAGATCTGGCTGGGACCCTCTCCACGTCTTGATGAGCTGCTCAGGCAGCAGAACTGCTTTTGCACCAAGAGCTGGAGCTCATCAGCAGCTTGGGGACGCTGCTTCCTGCTCTGAGCCCACCAGCAGATGAACTTCTCCTCTGGCCTCCCTGACCAAAGCAAAATCAAAGTTCCCCGTGGTCCTGCCAGTCTGGGGCAAGAGGGACTTGCCAACAGCAGCTGCTGAGTGGGCAGGCGTGGAAAAGGAAAATGGAATCAGGCTCTGAAGAGAGCAGCATGGCACTGGGATCAAAGCAGGGTGCCCAGTGCTGATGGAGCAAGGGTGGGTGGCTGCAGAAGGCAGCATCCAAGCAGCTGCCAGCCCTCTCAGTATAGGTGTTGGAGCTATGAAGGCTGAGTAGGTTTTGAGCTCCTGGGGGCCTGGAGTGGTATGTCTGCTCTGGGGTTTGTTCTGCTGAGTGAGTGGTGGGAGAGCTGGGCTGAGCTGCAGCCAGTGTGCCAGCAGGGTCCTCCAGACCTGCTCAGTGCCTCTGGAAATCATCTTCTTTTTTGGAAGTGTCACTAATATGATCCACATTTGTTTAAAAAAAAAAAAAAAAAACAAAAAAAAAACCCCAAAAAAACAGGGATGCTTGCAGCTTTCAAAGAGCTGTCACTTCTCCCTGTGTCAGCTCAGCTGCGCTGGGGCTTGGTGGGGATGGGTTGGACTTAAAAGGGAAAAGTGCCTGAGCCATAACAGTGAAAACAGAGTGTTAATGCTCTGGGGCTGCTGCTGCAAAGGGCTGGCCTTGCTGGTGACTCTGCAGGCAGCTGCTGTCCCCACAGGGCTGGTTTCCCATCGAGCTTTAGAGCACCCTCCCTACCTTGTGGCCCAAAGTGCCAATTGTCCTGCCAGCAGCCTCGCCTCTGCCCTGGCTGGAAGGCACAGAGCAGCGGTTTGTGACTCCAGCCCA